GCCACTGGCGTGGGGGGGAGGCTTGGCTGGAAGGGAGCAGTTCCCAAGGAAAGGGGGCTGTAGGACACTGAGGACCCCCAACATCTGTAGCAATCACAGGCTGGGGACACTGGAGGTTGAGGTGTCTCCTGGGGCACTGGGTCCTCTCCGGTCCTGATGACTCGATTGTACGGAGATGTTTCCCTTGGGATGGACGAGTCTCTCCCAGGTTCCCCCCTCAAGGTCTGTCCCCATGGATGTGATTTGACGCCAGTTTGGGGATCCAGAGTGTGGGTCTCAAGGCCACCTCAGTGCTCGGGGCCAGGATGTGACCCAGAACCATGGTGGGAGGCAGCGAGAGCCAGGCAGGGCTCACCTGGCTGCTCCATCAGTGCCCAGCCGGGACCCTGATGGAGCTAATGGTGTTCAATAGCATCTGAGCATCTCCTTGGGACACCCTCAGAGGTTTTATAGCAAATTCAAATGCCTCTCCATGTATTTATCGTCTTATTTTCACCTGCCAATGGCTTTCTGTCCCATCTTTTCTTTTTCCTGATGAAAATGAGCCCCATTAATTCCTGTCCCTTAGTTTCCAGCTGGCTCCAGCAGGTCTTTGACATTAATTGATGTCCATCCCCTAAGAGATGATGGGTGACCCTTCCCCAGCCCCCTCACGCTCTCCTGCCTCTGCTCGCTTGCAGTTGTGGAGACCGAATGCGAGAGGAGCTCGGCCACCACCTACTTCTGGTACCGGGAGACCTTGGACATCTCCAACTCCATCTCAGAGAGTGGGGGGCTCAACTGGAAGATGACCCTGTGTCTGCTGGTGGCCTGGAGCCTTGTTCTCTTGGCCATGATCAAAGGCATCCAGTCCTCGGGGAAGGTGGGTATCGGTGGCCACCTGAGCCTGGCTGGGCTCTGTCCTCGAGGCAGGAACCTCCCATCTGGACCACACTCTCCTGTCCTGGGGGATGCTGTGTCCCCTGGGACGCTCAGACTTGTCCCAGAGCTTGGGAGATCTCCAGGGGGATCCAGAATAAGATCAGAAGGGGATGTAGGGAAGAGGTTTAGTCCATCTGATGCCTGCAGCAATGGCCCAAGGCTCAGCCACATCACTGGCCAAATCATCTGCCCAGCCCTGGCGTTGGGGGCCGTCAGCTGTCTGATCCCCTGATGCACGCCGTCTCGATGGACGCTCGTAGGATGTAGGGATGAGAGCTGAGCCCCCCTTTGTGGGGGAAGCACTGTGACTCTGGGCAGGAGAAGCAGGGCAGGGAGAAGCTCTGGGAGCAGGATGCTGTGTTGATGTTCCAAGCAAGGCTGTGCAAGTGGTGGGGTCAGATGCAGAAGGGTATGGTCACCTGGGACGCTTGGACATCTCTCTCCAGCTGTGCTCTGCAAAACATCTGGTGTGTTAGCAGCCAGCAAAGGGCGATAAAATCCCTGCCCCGCAGCCCCAAGAGCAGGGGATGGAGGTGAGCTGCAGAAGCAGGACCATGGCAGCAGATCTTTGCCCAGGGTGAAGTCCCATCCCCATCGGCTCGTTGGGATGCTCGGGCTGCCTGTGGCCCCGGGCAGGTGCTGGGGAAGGGGGTGGAGGAGGGCAGAGATGTCCTTCCCTCGAGCTCCCAAACAATTTGTGTTTCAGGGGTTTTTCTGAGTCAACACCAGCATCTTCACATTCAGCAGCCCCAACAGGTTTTTCTTTTTTAAGTGTGTCCAAGCACTTTGCAAACCCACCTGAGCTTCAGCAACGTGCCACATCCTGCCCTGCCTGGGGAGCAGACCTCATTTTGGGGAGGGGAGCCCTCCCTTCTCATGCCTGTTGAGCTGTCCGTGGGTCGGATGGGGTGCTGGCTGAGCTCAGCAGGTGGTAAATGAGATTTTGCCCGTCTTGCACCCCTCTCGCCCCAGGTGATGTACTTCAGCTCGCTCTTCCCCTACGTGGTGCTGGTTTGCTTCTTGGTGCGGGGACTTCTGCTGCGCGGGGCGGTGGATGGGATCATGCACATGTTCACACCCAAGGTAAGGGTCTCCAAGCCCAGCAGAAGCAGCAGGTTCTCCTTGAGGCCGGTCATACCCTATATTTTCCCTTATGCTCCCCATGCCAAGAAACAGAGAACCAACCTCAAACCACCCCAGAGATCCTTAGAAATCATCAGGATGGGCCAGCAGCACCCTAAATATGGGCCAGGACAGCCAAGAGC